AGGGACAGTAACTCACCCTAGGGTCATCTCTACCAGGGTGCTCTGGCTGAGGTAGGGTCAGGGTCAGGGACAGTAACTCACCCCAGGGTCATCTCTACCAGGTGCTCTGGCTGAGGAAAGGTCAGGGGTCAGGACAGTAACTCACCCCAGGGTCATCTCTACCAGGGTGCTCTGAGCTGAGGAAAAGGGGTAAAGGGGTCGGGACAGTAACTCACCACCCAGGGTCATCTCTACCAGGGTGCTCTGCTGAGGTAAGGTCAGGGGTCAGGGACAGTAACTCACCCCAGGGTCATCTCTACCAGGGTGCTCTGGCTGAGGTAGGTCAGGGTCAGGACAGTACTCACCCAGGGTCATCTCACAGGGTGCTGGTGAGGAAGGTCAGGGGTCGGACAGTAACTTACCCCAGGGTCATCTCTACCAGGGTGCTCTGACTGAGGTAGGGTCAGGGGGGTCAGGGACAGTAACTCACCCCAGGGTCATCTCTACCAGGGTGCTCTGGCTGAGGTAGGCTTGAGGCTTCACCATCCCACTGGACGCCAGAGGCAGCACCTTACCAGGTAACTGCTCCTGTAGCTACAATACACACAAACATTGGTATATTAAAAACTAAAAGGGTGGCAGTTTCCCAAAGTTTGGTGTTGACTATAAACTTTACTTAGCTAGCTAGCAAGCTATGCTTTATGGAAGAATGTAGCTAGCTAGGATATCTAGTCAACACTGAGTTGTCGTTGGTGCACGATCTATACAGCTATGGTACATTCTCGTTGGCTTGATCTATGGCTACTGGCTAGCTGGCTAGCTAGCTGGCTAGCTATGGTACAGTCTCGTTGGCTTGTATCTACTGGCTAGCTGGCTAGCTATGGTACAGTCTCGTTGGCTTGTATCTACTGGCTAGCTGGCTAGCTAACTGGCTACAATAGCAGCCGAGGACGTTTGCCAGCTTATTTGTTTGTGCTCTGATTTAGTTTACACAGATGACATCAGCCATATGAAAAACCTTTAATAGCAAAATATCCCCAGCTAGCTAGCTTCATTTGCTTGTAGCTTGCTTCTCATCCGACTGGTGTTAGCTAGCTAGCTAGCTGCCTGCTACTATTTAGCTGCTGCGCAGAACCGAGTTGTTGGTCCCGGTTTTGGAACTCTGCGATTCGGCTGAAACCATGTTAGCATTGTCAGAAATGCTACAAAAAGGTAGCACATCATTGGTTCTTAATGGACAGAAATGAGCACGTGAGAGCGATAAATTATACATGTAATCAAAACTGTTGCCCCTACAAACGTATTCAGTCCGAAGGGTGGCAAGTCTAATGGTCCCTTTATGGACGCCGTAGTCTCGTTCTTATCAGACGCCTAGATATTGAGCTCGTTCAAGGCAAGAAATAGTATTTTTTTTCCTAAAGCTAACGACCATGTTAAAAATCCGATGTGGTTCTCGGTAACGGCCCGGACGGCTCATGACGAAAGGCGGGGGAGTGTGTTGTGTACCTCCAATCAAGTTGATTTGCAAAGTGTAATCGACATTGGTGCCTTATTGGCTTAGATATGATGGTAGGGAGATTTGAATTGAGCTTCAATCAATCCCTACTATAGTCATGGCAGTCTATAATGAATGGAATCCAACCCACAGACTAATATAAAACCAAACTGCAAAGGGCTCTCTCTCTCTCTCTCTCTCTCTCTCTCTCTCTCTCTCTCTCTCTCTCTCTCTCTCTCATCTCTCTCTCATCTCTCTCTCCTCCTCTATCTCTCTCTCTCTCTCTCTCTCCTCTCTCTCTCTCCTCCTCTTCTCTGCTCGTCTCTTCTCTCTCCCCTCTCTCGTCATCCCTCCCTCTCTCCTCCTCTCCTTTCCCCTCCTCCTCCTCCTCTCTCCCTCCCTCTCTCTCTCTCTTCCCTCCCTCTCTCTCTCTTCTCCTGCGCTCTTCTCCTGCTCCATCTCTCTACTTAGTGGCGTAAACGTCCTGTTTACCTCAGTGTTTAGTAAGTGGTGTGTGTTCTGACCTTAATAACTCTCTCCATCACCATGGAAACTTCTTTCTCCACGCTGTTGAATTGGCTGGTTAGACCAATCAGCTGCTTCCTCACGTGATGCACCTTCCTGTACAGGGGAGATAAACGCACTATTGATACAGTACACACACACACACCCCTTCCTGCAGGAGACCAGATAAACATAGTCTCACACAGTGCATTCGGAATGTATTCAGACCCCTTCACTTATTCCACATTTTGTTACGTTACAGCCTTATTCTAAAATTGATTAAATAAATAAAAATCCTCATCAATCTACACACAATACCCCATAATGAGAAAGTGAAAACAGGTTTTTTGTATTTTTTGCAAATGTATTAAAAATAAAAAACAGAATACTTTATTTACATAAGTATTCAGACCCTTTGCTATGAGACTCGAAATTGAGCTCAGGTGCATCCTGTTTCCATTGATCATCCTTGAGATGTTTCTACAACTTGGTTGGAGTCCACCTGTGGTAAATTCAATTGATTGGACATGATTTGGAAAGGCACACAACTGTCTATATAAGGTCCCACAGTTGACAGTGCATGTCAGAGAAAAAACCAAGGCATGAGGTTGAAGGAATTGTCCGTAGAGCTCAGAGACAGGATTGTGTGGAGGCACAGATCTGGGGAAGGGTACCAAAAAATGTCTGCAGCATTGAAGGTCCCCAAGAACACAGTGGCCTCCATCATTCTTAAATGGAAGAAGTTTGGAACCACCAAGACTCTTCCTAGAGCTGGCCGCCCGGCCAAACTGAGCAATCGGGGGAGAAGGGCCTTGGCCAGGGAGGTGACCAAGAACCCGATGGTCACTCTGACAGAGCTCTACAGTTCCTCTGTGGAGATGGGAGAACCTTCCAGAAGGACAACCATCTCTGCAGCACTCCACCAATCAGGCCTTTATGGTAGAGTGGCCAGACGGAAGCCACTCCTCAGTAAAAGGCACATGACAGCCCGCTTGGAGTTTGCCAAAAGGCACCTAAAGGACTCTCAGACCATGAGAAACAAGATTCTCTGGTCTGATGAAACCAAGTGTCATGGAAATGACCACCAGGGGGACACTCTTAGATGCATAAAGTACCGGTCCGAAGCGAGCTCCCTTATATACGGCTATATGGAAAAGCTACATAGGCATTGGTTCATAGGGTTGGTTCCTGCATGTGACTGGCACCGTCTCCTATCTTTAACTTCTAGAACATATTGTGGGCGTTCTGCCAAAAGGTCTGAGGAGGGGGGTCATGACCGTCTCCTCCCCCTCATAATCTCTACCCAGCACCTACAGGAACCAATGATTGTATGAGACAAGATGTACCATTCAAGGCTGTTGGGACCTCTCCAGCTTGGTGATAAAGAACGATTCATCTAAGATAGACTCCCTGGTGGTAATTTCCACGACACAAGATTGAACTCTTTGGCCTGAATGCCGAGCGTCACGTCTGGAGGAAACCTGGCACCATCCCTACGGTGAAGCATGGTGGTGGCAGCATCATGCTGTGGGGATGTTTTTCAGCGGCAGGGAGACTTGTCGGGATCGAGGGAAAAGGTGAACGGAGCAAAGTACAGAGAGATCCTTGATGAAAACCTGCTCCAGAGCGCTCAGGACCTCAGACTGGGGCGAAGGTTCACCTTCCAACAGGACAACAACCCTAAGCAGAGATCTGAAAATAGCTGTGCAGCGATGCTCCCCATCCAACCTGACAGAGCTTGAGAGGATCTGCAGAGAAGAATGGGAGAAACTCCCCAAATACAGGTGTGCCAAGCTTGTAGCGTCATACCCAAGAAGACTCAATGCTGTAATCGCTGCCAAAGGTGCTTCAACAAAGTACTGAGAAAAGGGCCTGAATACTTATGTAAATGTGATATTTCCGTTTCTTTTTTTGATACATTTGCAACAATTTCTAAAAACGTGTTTTCGCTTTGTCATTATGGGGTATTGGCTGTAGATTGATGAGGGGAAAAAATGATTTATCAATTTTAGAATAAGGCTGTAACGTAACAAAGTGTGGAAAAAGTCATTTACAGGACACTGACCTCATCTGATAACTTCCTTCATTTACAGGACACACTGACCTCATCTGATAACTTCCTTCATTTACAGGACACACTGACCTCATCTGATAACTTCCTTCATTTACAGGACACACTGACCTCATCTGATAACCTCCTTCATTTACAGGACACACTGACCTCATCTGATAACTTCCTTCATTTACAGGACACACTGACCTCATCTGATAACTTCCTTCATTTACAGGACACACTGACCTCATCTGATAACCTCCTTCATTTGCAGGACACACTGACCTCATCTGATAACTTCCTTCATTTACAGGACACACTGACCTCATCTGATAACTTCCTTCATTTACAGGACACACTGACCTCATCTGATAACTTCCTTCATTTACAGGACACACTGACCTCATCTGATAACTTCCTTCATTTACAGGACACACTGACCTCATCTGATAACCTCCTTCATTTACAGGACACACTGACCTCATCTGATAACCTCCTTCATTTACAGGACACACTGACCTCATCTGATAACTTCCTTCATTTACAGGACACACTGACCTCATCTGATAACTTCCTTCATTTACAGGACACACTGACCTCATCTGATAACTTCCTTCATTTACAGGACACACTGACCTCATCTGATAACTTCCTTCATTTACAGGACACACTGACCTCATCTGATAACCTCCTTCATTTACAGGACACACTGACCTCATCTGATAACCTCCTTCATTTACAGGACACACTGACCTCATCTGATAACCTCCTTCATTTACAGGACACACTGACCTCATCTGATAACCTCCTTCATTTACAGGACACACTGACCTCATCTGATAACTTCCTTCATTTACAGGACACACTGACCTCATCTGATAACTTCCTTCATTTACAGGACACACTGACCTCATCTGATAACTTCCTTCATTTACAGGACACACTGACCTCATCTGATAACCTCCTTCATTTACAGGACACACTGATCTCATCTGATAACCTCCTTCATTTACAGGACACACTGACCTCATCCACTCCTCGCTCTTAGAGATGAAGATGCGGTACTTCATGGCACACTCCTCTGTGAACAGAGACCTGGCCTTGGTGGCGTGGAACACCAACTTCTGTCTGTCAGAGGAGAAACAGGAGGACTAATGTTAGGGTTGAGGAGCAGGTCTGTCATCATGGATAAAGGAGGACTAATGTTAGGGTTGAGGAGCAGGTCTGTCATCATGGATAAAGGAGGACTAATGTTAGGGTTGAGGAGCAGGTCTGTCATCATGGATAAAGGAGGACTAATGTTAGGGTTGAGGAGCAGGTCTGTCATCATGGATAAAGGAGGACTAATGTTAGGGTTGTAAGAAGTCATCTAAACAGAGGGTAATGGGTTGCAATAAGCATAGTTAGGTTTAAATCCAAATGGCAACAGATTATTATCTATATTAAAAAATATATATATAATGGTTAGTCATTTAGCAGACGCTCTTATCCAGAGCGATTTACAGGAGCAATTAGGGTTAAGTGCCTTGCTCAAGGGCACGTCGACAGATTTTTCACCTAGTCGGCTCAGGGATTAGAACCAGCGACCTTTCGGTTACTGGCACTACGCTCTTAACCACTAAGCTACCTGCCGCCCAAATATTCAAAAATCCACATAAAACACATTTTCCCACCAGAGATCAAATTCAAATTGCCTCGTTGTGGATAAAAGGCTGTGCTTGATGACACAGTGCACATAAAAATACCTTTTGCGGTTAAATTCCCAAGTACCAAAAAAATACAAGTTAAATGGGTTTCCATCGCATTTTCAACTCTACTGATGGTCTTGTCACAACAAATGTTGCGCTCTATAGCCAATGTGCCCATTCTGGTCTTGGCACGTGCGCTCTATCACGTGCGCTCTATCCAAAACAGCTGGCAGATACAGTGTGGGTAGGCTATCTACATGATGAGATTATTATGGATCAGAGCGAGAGTTTTATTCGTCAAGCGGCAGTCAAGCATTGATCATCACGTCACCAGACTAAGACCCTGGATATTTATTGGGAAGGAGCATCAAGCTCATCGCCGTGTATTTTCACCACCCTTATTATTCTACAGTGTATCTGTAGCCGTGGGAGGACCACACACCGTATCATCACGTGACTCCAAGTTTACGTCCATATGACGGTTGTTATATCAATATTTCACATCATTCATTTTACAGACGTGAAAAAGATCCCACCTCGCCTAACGTATTTTGTTTTTGTTGACATTTGGAAAGTTTACCGATAAACGTTTCCATCAGACCCCGTTGTGACATTTCATACCCGACGTGTACTTCACTCACACAGAAAGGTTGGGCGGAAACCTGGTCAGTCGGACAGAAAGACGGACCTACTTGTCAAATTTGTGTATCTGTTCCTCGTTGTAAGGCAGACGTCTCTCAGCCTTGTCCTTCTTGAACTGGTGGTAGATGGCTGTAATGGAGTCCAGGAGAACCTTAATCCTCTCAACACTGAAGACAGAGACAGAGACAGAGAAAACCATGAGCAAACTGGTGGTAGATGGCTGAAAGGAGCTGTGGAACTAATGTTAGGGTTTAGGAAGAACCTTAACATTAGTCCACAGATATTGGATATTGCCGTCATACTTTTTTTGTATGGAGATCTGGGAAGTGTACTGTAACCTCGTACATTATGTATCGCCCTATGTTACGGTGTGGAAAACAGTTTTCATGGGCACACATATCCAAAATAATGTATGTGATTGCAAAATCGAATGCTTCTAACAGAAAGAGTACCTTTAACATGATTAATAAAAACAGAAATCGATACCGTCATTAACGGGGTTCTTCACTAATTATCCGTAATAGTTGTTTGAAGCGTTTGATGTCTAGCTGTTTAGTTACATGGGGGGACATTATCACACAACATCAGCTGATTCAGTAAAGGATTTTCAGAATTGACAGTCAAGTGATAAAGAACTTGGTGTGATACTGCACGCGATTGAACAGCCAAAGTGCAGGAATTCATGTTGATCTGGAGGATTGACAGAACATTTTGGTATCTATGTTGTTACAGTGGTCAAGATAATTAGCCTATGTTGTGGACAACATGAAGTCAAGATTCCTGAGGTAAGATTACGGTCCGTGTAAGTCTTCATCGTTTGGTTTTGGAGTTAGAAACGGAGCAGTCGGGATTTGTGAAAAGGGCTTGTTTTTTTGTTTTTGAATATAAAACCAAAAAACAACTTGATATTCCGATGCTCAAATGTGGGTGGGGTTAAATGTGGAATGCCTGGTCAAGTGCACAGCCGACACTTCCTGTCCTTTCAAAGTCTATTATCTATTAATTGATTAATAGCTGCCCATGGCGTGCCGCAGCGCCAAGGTAAGATTTCTCAATTTCTGCATAAGATGTAGTGTCATTTACTTATTAACTGCTGTTACTGTAAGTGATTATCTGAGTGATAAGTCTGTGTGTGTATAGCAATGGAATTAAACATCCAACCGATGCCCTCAAGTGTCGTGCTGTAGGTCCACCTACTGTCCTGAAACAACCCCTAGCCCCAATCCCTAGCCCCCAACCCATAGCCCCAACCCCTAGCCCCAACCCCTAGCCCCAACCCCTAGCCCCAAACCCCATAGCCCCAACCCCTAGCCCCAACCCCTAGCCCCAACCCATAGCCCCAACCCCTAGCCCCAACCCCTAGCCCCAATCCCCAACCCCTAGCCACCAACCCCCTAGCCCCAACCCCAACCCATAGCCCCAAACCATAGCCCCAACCCCTAGCCCCAATCCCAACCCCTAGCCCCAACCCCTAGCCCCAACCCCTAGCCCCAATCCCAACCCTAGCCCCAACCCTAGCCCCAACCCCTAGCACCCCAACCCCAACCCATAGCACCAACCCCTAGCCCCAACCCCTAGCCCCAACCCCTAGCCCCTAGCCCCAAACCCCTAGCCCCAACCCCTAGCCCCTAGCCCCAACCCCTAGCCCCAACCCCTAGCCCCAACCCCTAGCCCCAACCCCTTGACACTAGTGGAGATCTGAGAGGATTGGACGGGTGTAAAGCAATACCTGCCAAAATTCCCCCAAGCCAATCAGAGGGTAAGGTGGAGCTCTCACCATGTCACCACCCACCAATCCCTCTCAGATCTCTACAAGTGTCCAGACTCTGGGCAGTAGGGGCTAGGGTTTGTTTCTGGACAGGCCATGGGTATTATGGTAGTTCAGTCAGAATAATTATCTTTAGCACCCTCCCGTGCTACCGAAGGGGTTTTGGAACATTTCGGCGGACTCTTTGCCCTGAACGAGTACCTGAAGAAAACTTTGCATCGACAGGAATGTCTCTTTTTTGTGACAACTTTGATTTGCTGTGGGAGCAAAGAGCATTTTTTAAAAAGAGACGGGATTCACCCTAACCGCAAGGGGGTTCCAGGATTATTTCCAGCAACATCTCAAACTGTTTTAGAGACTGATGGACAGGGTCTGGTAGCGCTCCAGTTCTCCCTGTCAGAATAACCAACAGAGGACTTGGAAACCATATCAACTCCTGTAGAAATTACACTATGGCCTAATTTATGTTCCTTTAACTCCGCCTTCTAGTGAGTTTATACGAACTGTCATCTTCTACCATTCTGATAGATTGGAGACTGTCAGACAACGTGGTTGTAACGTTAATCATTTGGTTGTTGTTATTTCCATTTGTTACCTCTAGGCAGATGCCCCAGGGGTCTACACTCATTGAATATGGCACTTTTAAATGTTAGAGCAATCACTAGCAAAATCTCTCTCGTGAATGACCTCATTACTGAGCGCAAAGTTGATTCAGCTTTTCATACTCTATCAGAAAAGGGAAAAAGGGTGGGGGGACAGCCTCTATTTTTACTAATGCTCTCAGCTGTAAGGATATTTCATTTGGCAACTTTGGGTCTTCTGAGCATCACGCTATACTGTTTAAATGTCAGCCATAACCCTGTATAGGCCACCAAAGCACTGCCCCACTTTCTTTACTGATTTCTCTCTGAACTATTGTCTTTTGTCCTTGAGAACTATGATAAAATCATCGTGTTGGGCGATTTTAATATTCATGTTGACAAAAGAGACTGACTCCAAGGCCATTGAATCTATTCATATTTTGATCTCTATGGACTTTATCCAACATGTTACTGGGCCCACCCATAACCACGGCCATACTCTGGACCTGGTTATTACCAAGGGGCTTTCTATTGACATATCCTCTATTGTCGATGTTGATATTATCTGATCACCACTGTGGATGTTTTTCCTACCTTGTTGCCCATAGCAACACAGGGTAATACTGAACGTATTATTAAGAAACGCCGTCTTACCTCTGAAGTTGCTAGAGATTTTATTGAGTGTATGAACAATACTCCACCACCTATTCTTCCTCCCTCTTGTGGTGATTTAGTTGATCACTTTAATAGCAAATTAAAGGGCAACCATTGATGCCATAGCTGCAGTAAAGTTGGAAAAGGCCACATCCAGACGGAGAGCCCCTTGGATGAGTGAGGAAACTAATAGATTAAAGAGAAATTGCAGAAAGGCAGAGCGGAAGTGGAGAAAGTCCAAGTTGTAGGTCCATTATGATATTCTGAGAGAGCAACTTGCCGTATATAGCAAGGCAATTAGAAATGCCAGACGGGCTTTTTAAACTTGATCACTAATAATCAGAATCATTCGAGAGGGCTCTTCTCGACCATTGATAGCCTGATAAATCCTACCCCTGCAAACCTATGTGAACTTTCCTCCACATCTAAATGTGATGAGTTTGCGGCATATTTCAGAGATAAGATAACCAACATTAGGCTGGGTATCAGTCAAGCAAGACCTGATGAGAAGTTTTGATGATATGTGCCCCTAGCCTACCACGCAAAGGCACTATGGATTTATTTTCCCTGGTTGACACAGACATGCTCAGTAAAATGATATCACAACTGAAGCCTTCTACCTGCCTTCTCGATTCTCACCCCGCCACCTTCTTCAAAACCGTTTTTAATTGCATATCTGAAGAAGTGCAAGCTATTGTTAATCATTCCCTGTTTCACAGGCACTTTCCCCACTGCTATGGTGAAACCCCTTCTGAAGAAAATGGATCTAGATTCTTCAGCTCTTAGACATTTTCGGCCAATTCTTAAGCAAAATCCTGGATACATTTTTTAAGTGGCAACTGTATTTTAGAAAAATTCCAATCTGGTTTTCGTGCCCACCACAGCACAGAGACAGCCTTAGTTAAAGTGGTAAAGTATCTTAGAGCCAAACAGCTCTCTGTCCTTGTACTCTTGGATTTAAGTGCTGCATTAGACACTGTTGACCATGATGTCCTTCTGGACAGACTGGAGAGGTGGGTTGGCCTCTGTTGACCATGATGTCCTTCTGGACAGACTGGAGAGGTGGTTGGCCTCTGTTGACCATGATGTCCTTCTGGACAGACTGGAGAGGTGGGCTGACCTCTGTTGACCATGATGTCCTTCTGGACAGACTGGAGAGGTGGGTTGGCCTCTGTTGACCACGATGTCCTTCTGGACAGACTGGAGAGGTGGGTTGGCCTCTGTTGACCATGATGTCCTTCTGGACAGACTGGAGAGGTGGGCTGACCTCTGTTGACCATGAGGTCCTTTCTGGACAGACTGGAGAGGTGGGTTGGCCTCTGTTGACGCATGAGTCCTTCTGGACAGACAGGAGAGGTGGGTTGGCCTCTGTTGACCATGATGGTCCTTCTGGACAGACTGGAGAGGTGGGTGACCTCTTGTTGACCATGATGTCCTTCTGGACAGACTGGAGAGGTGGGTTGGACCTCTGTTGACCATGATGTCCTTCTGGACAGACTGGAGAGGTGGGTTGGCCTCTGTTGACCATGATGTCCTTCTGGACAGACTGGAGAGGTGGGTTGGCCTCTGTTGACCATGATGTCCTTCTGGACAGACTGGAGAGGTGGGTTGGCCTCTCTGGTCCAGTTTTAAATTGGTTCAGGACCTATTTAACCGGTCGAGAGTTTTTGTCACACTTGGTGAACATAAATCAGAGAAAATACATATCACATGTGGCTTTCCACAAGGTGTCTGTTTCGGCCCCCCTCGGGTTCTCTGGCAGGCTATTCCAGAGGCTGGGGGCATAGTAACTAAAGGCTGCCTCTCCATGCCTCTTGGTCCTTAAGTTGTGTAGTAAATATTTATTTTCATTGTTTTTATTTGTTTATTTTCCTGTGAAGCACATTGTGTTGCTTTCCATGTCTGAAATGTGCTGTAGAAATAAAGCTTGATGATAAATTATTATATAAACTGTTAAAACGTATAGAAATGCTGTTGTTTATCGTTTTCATTTTTCTGGAAGGTTCAGCATGGCTATAAATGACAGAGACGTTGACCAAAGCACAAACAGACCTGCTACTAGACAGAACACTAGAAAACATGCGGTGTCCATGTTTCATGTGGCATTTAGACTGACATGTAGATGTTTTGTTGTTGCTAGGTGGAGTTATTCCTGTAACTATACATGTGAAGCTGCAAGAAAATCATATTTACATTTTTTATCAAACCATTTTGAAATGTTGACCCTGTCGTCACACATTTGGCCCCTTTTATTTATAGAAAGACCCACATACACACACAGTAGGGCCGGAACGGTACCAGTATCGCCAACACTCGTTAGTATTGCGGAAAGGAAACTTCTATAGATAACAGCCCTAATGTTGGCAACTAACAAACTTATGTTGTCATCCAGAGTCACGTAGATTTATTTTCCAAGCTATAGCACACAATAAAGTTTCACACGGAAGGTTTTTAAAAAGGACCAAAGAGTTCGGTAGCATTTGTGTTTTTCATTTTTGCAATGGAAAAAAAATATTGCGATACTTGTATCGTCACAGCCCTAACACACACAAACACGCACATGACTTACTTCCTGTCTTCAGGGTGTGTCCCAGCTTGAGTCCAGCTGTCCGTCAGAACACCACCTGACAGGAACTTACTCTTGATGTCCTGAACCGTCTGATCCATGGGGACTAAGGAGTTGGAGATCTACACAGAGAGACGACCAATCAACAGCAGCTCCAGAGATTTGAGACTGACTGACTGAGAAGATAGTAGCCAGGGGCGGGGCCAGAGTGAACAGGGGCGGGGCCAGAGAGAACAGAGGAACTTACTAGGACTATTTTCTTCCTCATGTCTGAGATCTCATCGTACTCTGATGATGACAACATATTGGCCTGCATTAACACCTCGTACCTGGGAGAGGAGACAACACCACCACGTTGAGTCACACCTACTGGAGGGGAATGTGTCAAATCAAAATCAAAGTGGATCAAAGCGTGTACTCACAGCTGCTCTGTCCTCTCCAGGATCTGAGTGCAGTAGTGGCAGAGGTGGATGACCTCTGACTTCTTGTGTACCATCTCACTGTAGTCTTCCTTCATTAACTCACTGAGACAGAGAGAGACGCACTGTTCAATTCATTTGATAGCAGATCAAACGAGACACTAACATATACAGACGGATTTATGCAGAACATCAGTTGAACAGTGAACCAGTTGAACAGTGAACCAGTTGACCAGTGAACCAGTTGACCAGTGAACCAGTTGACCAGTGAACCAGTTGAACAGTGAACCAGTTGAACAGTGAACCAGTTGAACAGTGAACCAGTTGAATGTGCTGGTTGTCTGGTGCATTGTATGGTCATCAGGACTTACATTAACCCCCTGACTCCCTTCCGGACCAGCTCCTGACAAACCAACAGGGAGTCTGAGGTCTTCCACAGGTGGCCCACGTCTCCTGCAAACGTCTGGACAACGGAGGAAGACATATTAGGATATTAGTTAGGGGCACCACACACACACACACATATATTATTATTATTAATAATATTATATTATTATTTATTATTATTATATATAGAATCTTGTTGTAACCAAAAAAGTGTTAAACAAAACAAAATAAATATATTTTATATTTCAGATTCTTCAAATAGCCACCCTTTGCCTTGATGACAGCTTTGCACACTCTTGGCATTCTCTCAACCAGCTTCATGAGGTAGTCACCTGGAATGCGTTTCAATGTCTTCCATTCCTGTGGCGGTCCTCAAAAAACTTTCAAAGTTCTTTACATTTTCTGTATTGACTGACCTTCATGTCTTCAAGTAATGATGGACTGTCGTTTCTCTTTGCTTTTTGCGCTGTTCTTGCCATAATATGGACTTGGTCTTTTACCAAATAGGGCTATCTTCTGTATACCCCCCCATACCTTGTCACAACACAACTGATTGGCTCAAACGCATTAAGGAAAGAAATTCCACAAATTCACTTTTAAGAAGGAACACCTGTTAATTTAAATGCATTCCAGGTGACTACCTCATGAAGCTGGTTGAGAGAATGCCAAGAGTGTGCAAAGCTGTCATCAAGGCAAAGGGTGGCTATTTGAAGAACCTCAAATATAAAATATATTTTGATTTGTTTAACACTTTTTTGGTTACTACATGATTCCATACAGTGGCTTGCAAAAGTATTCACCCCCCTTGGCATTTTTCATAACATATAACATAACATATAGTTTTACCTTGGCATAGCTGGCATAACATAACATATACAGTGGGGGAAAAAAGTATTTAGTCAGCCACCAATTGTGCAAGTTCTCCCACTTAAAAAGATGAGAGAGGCCTGTAATTTTCATCATAGGTACATGTCAACTATGACAGACAAAATGAGGAAAAAAATTCCAGAAAATCACATTGTAGGATTTTTAATGAATATATTTGCAAATTATGGTGGAAAATAAGTATTTGGTCAATAACAAAAGTTTATCAATACTTTGTTATATACCCTTTGTTGGCAAAGACACAGGTCAAACGTTTTCTATAAGTCTTCACAAGGTTTTCACACACTGTTGCTGGTATTTGGCCCATTCCTCCATGCAGATCTCCTCTAGAGCAGTGATGTTTTGGGGCTGTCGCTGGGCAACACGGACTTTCAAACTCCCTCCAAAGATTTTCTATGGGGTTGAGATCTGGAGACTGGCTAGGCCACTCCAGGACCTTGAAATGCTTCTTACGAAGCCCATCCTTCGTTGCCCGGGCGGTGTGTTTGGGATCATTGTCATGCTGAAAGACCCAGCCACGTTTCATCTTCAATGCCCTTGCTGATGGAAGGAGGTTTTCACTCAAAATCTCACGATACATGGCCCCATTCATTCTTTCCTTTACACGGATCAGTCGTCCTGGTCCCTTTGCAGAAAAACAGCCCCAAAGCATGATGTTTCCACCCCCATGCTTCACAGTAGGTATGGTGTTCTTTGGATGCAACTCAGTATTCTTTGTCCTCCAAACACAACGAGTTGAGTTTTTACCAAAAAGTTATATTTTGGTTTCATCTGACCATATGACATTCTCCCCAATCCTCTTCTGGATCATCCAAATGCACTCTAGCAAACTTCAGACGGGCCTGGACATGTACTGGCTTAAGCAGGGGGACACGTCTGGCACTGCAGGATTTGAGTCCCTGGCGGCGTAGTGTGTTACTGATGGTAGGCTTTGTTACTTTGGTCCCAGCTCTCTGCAGGTCATTCACGAGGTCCCCCGTGTGGGTTCTGGGATTTTTGCTCACCGTTCTTGTGATCATTTTGACCCCACGGGGTGAGATCTTGCGTGGAGCCCCAGATCGAGGGAGATTATCAGTGGTCTTGTATGTCTTCCATTTCCTAATAATTGCTCCCACAGTTGATTTCTTCAAACCAAGCTGCTTACCTATTGCAGATTCAGTCTTCCCAGCCTGGTGCTGGTCTACAATTTTGTTTCTGGTGTCCTTTGACAGCTCTTTGGTCTTGGCCATAGTGGAGTTTGGAGTGTGACTGTTTGAGGTTGTGGACAGGTGTCTTTTATACTGATAACAAGTTCAAACAGGTGCCATTAATACAGATACCGAGTGGAGGACAGAGGAGCCTCTTAAAGAAGAAGTTACAGGTCTGTGAGAGCCAGAATTCTGCTTGTGTTGTAGGTGACCAAATACTATTTCCACATAATTTGCAAATAAATTCATTAAAAATCCTACAATGTTGATTTTCTGGATTTTTTTTTCCTAAATTGTCTGTCATAGTGACGTGTACCTATGATGAAAATGACAGGCCTCTCTCATCTTTTAAGTGGGAGAACTTGCACAATTGGTGGCTGACTAAATACTTTTTTTTCCCCACTTTAGTTACCTTGGCATAGCTGGCAATAACATAACATATAGTTACCTTGGCATAGCTGGCATAACATAACATATAGTTACCTTGGCATAGCTGGCATAACATAACATATAGTTACCTTGGCATAGCTGGCATAACATAACATATAGTTACCTTGGCATAGCTGGCATAACTAACATATAGTTACCTGGCATAGGGGATAACAAACATATAGTTCCCTTGGATAGTGGCAAAACAAAACATTAGTTCCCTTGGCTAGGGCATAACTAACATAAGTTCCCTTTGGGATGCGGGCAAACTAACATATAGTTCCCTTGGATGCGGCATAAATAAATATAGTTCCCCCTTGGGGCATAGTGGCATAACATAACATTAAGTTCCCCTTCAATACTGGAAAAAACAAAAACATATAGTTACCTTGGATAGCTGGCATCCAGTCAAGGTCGTAGCGGGGCTGGATTTTGGGGGGAAACCTAGGGAGTGAAAAGAGAACTGGATTAAAAAACAGAAAATGGGGTTTAACAACAGACAGACTGAGGTTAACAAAACGCGAGGTTAGCAACAGACAAAATGAGGTTAACAACGGACAGACTGAGGTTTTGAAACAGACGATGAGATTAAAAACAGACAGACGGGGGGTTAAAAAAAAAACAACAGAGAGGTTAACAAAGACAGACTGAGGTTACCAGCAGACGAGGTAGCAACAGACAGCACTGAGGTTAGCACAACAGATAGAGACTGAGGTTAGCAACAGACAGAGACAGAGGTTAACAACATACATACTGAGGTTAACAACAGACAGAGAGAGACTGAGATTAACAACAGACAGACTGAGGTTAACAACAGACAGACTGAGGTTAACAACAGACAGACTGAGGTTAACAACAGACAGAGACTGAGGTTAACAACAGACAGAGACTGAGGTTAGCAACAGACAGATAGAGACTGAGGTTAGCAACAGACAGAGAGACTGAGGTTAGCAACAGACATACTGAGGTTAACAACAGACAGATAGAGACTGAGGTTAACAACAGACAGAGAGAGACTGAGATTAACAACAGACAGAGACTGAGATTAACAACAGACAGACTGAGGTTAACAACAGACAGACTGAGGTTAACAACAGACAGACTGAGGTTAACAACAGACAGACTGAGGTTAACAACAGACAGACTGAGGTTAACAACAGACAGAGAGGTTAACAATAGACAGAGAGGTTAACAACAGACAGAGACTGAGGTTAGCAACAGACAGATAGAGACTGAGGTTAGCAACAGACAGAGAGACTGAGGTTAGCAACAGACATACTGAGGTTAACAACAGATAGATATAGACTGAGGTTAACAACAGACAGACTGAGGTTAACAACAGACAGACTGAGGTTAACAACAGACAGAGAGGTTAACAACAGACAGACGGAGGTTAACAACAGACAGATATAGACTGAGGTTAACAACAGACAGATATAGACTGAGGTTAACAACAGACAGACTGAGGTTAACAACAGACAGATAGAGACTGAGGTTAACAACAGACAGACTGAGGTTAACAACAGACAGATATAGACTGAGGTTAACAACAGACAGATAGAGACTGAGGTTAGCAACAGACTGAGGTTAGCAACAGACAGACTGAGGTTAACAACAGACAGATAGAGACTGAGGTTAACAACAGACAGATATAGACTGAGGTTAACAACAGACAGATATAGACTGAGGTTAACAACAGACAGACTGAGGTTAACAACAGACAATAGAGACTGGGTTAAAAAAACAGACAGAATAGACTGATTTAAAACAACAGCAGATATCGACTGAGGTTGAAACAGAGATGAGGTTAAAACAGACGCTATTTTGCAACAACGAGAGGTTAAAACGCAGTGAGGTTGAACGACAGACTGAGGTTAGAACGACAGATGAGGTTAGCACAGACAGACTGAGGTTAAACAGAAGTGAGGTTGCACAGACAGATAGAACTGGTTTTAACAACAGACAGACTGGGTTAAACAACAGACAGACTGGGGTTTAACAACAGACAGCGGAGGTTAAAACAGAAGATGACGGATTTAAACAACAGATGACGGGGTAACAACGGGACGATGGTGTTAAAAAAACAGACAGATAGACGGGGTTTTAACACTTCCGGGCCCAAAAACAAAGAAACTACCAGGGCCCCTTTTGGGCGGGCCCTTTATACCTAAAAATGGTCCCAAAATGTTCGAAAACACCATCCTTGGAGACAGGCCCTTTATACCCCTAAAAAGATGGTACCAAATTTCGTAAACCCCAACCTTGGGAGACGGCCCCTTTTATTTCCTAATCAGATGGACCAAATGTTCTGTAACACAACCCTTGGAGCGGCCCTTTATATCCTAATAAATGGTAACCAAAAATGTTCTGTAAACCCCAAACCCTTGGAGACAGGCCCTTTAACCCAACGGGTCCCAAAAAATTTCTGTAAACCCCATCCTCTTGGAGACAGGCCCCTTTAACCTACAGATGGTACCAAGTTTGTAAACCCCAACCTCTTGGAGACAGGCCCTTTATATCCTAATCAGATGGCCCAAATTTTTGTAAACACCAAAACCTTTGGAAACACCCCTTTTATATCCAAATCAATGGAAAAAAGTTCTAAAACACCTCCTTTTGGGACAGGCCCTTAAATCCTAATCAGAGGGGTACCAACCCCTGAGTGGCGCATGGTTAAGGCACTGCATCGCGTGAAATGTCCCACTAGAGATCTGGTCGAACCAGGCTTTCGCACCCCGGCCGCGACCGGGGAGATCAGGGCGGCGCACAAAAGGCCAGCGTGTCCGGGTAGGGGAGGGAAAAGGCCCGGGAGGGATGTAGCTCCGTTTATGGCATGTGTTTTCAACACCCGGGTTTTTGGGTTTTTCCCAGGGGGCCATATAAAAAAAAAAAAAAAAAAAAAAAAAGTATTCACTAACTGTAAATCGCTTGGATAAAAGCGTCTGCTAAATGACTAAATGTAAAAAATGTAAAATGTACCCCAAAAGTTCTGTAAAAACCCAACCTCTTGGGGACAGGCCCTTAATCCTAATCAGATGGTACCAAAAGTTCTGTAAAAACCATCCTCTTGGAGACGGCCCCTTTTTTATCCTAATCAGATGGTACCAAATTTCTGTAAACACCATCCTCTTGGAGAAGGCCCTTTTTTATCCAATCAGAGGTACCAAAGTTCTGTAAAAACCATCCTCTTGGAGACAGGCCCTTACATCCAATGATGGTACCAAATTTTTTGTAACACATCTCTTGGGGAAGGGCCCCTTTTTTTTCCTAATCAGATGGTACCAAATGTTTTAAAAAAAAAGCCTTTGGAACAGGCCCCTTATATCCTAATCAGATGGTACCAAATGTTTTTAAACACCAGCCCTTGGGGAAAGGCCCTTTATTCCTAATCAGATGGTACCAAAAGTTTGGGGAAAACCCCAAACCCCTTGGGGAAGGCCCTTTAACCTAAACGATGGTACCAAATGTTTTGTAAACACCATCCTTTGGAGAAGGCCCTTATATCCTAAACAAAGGTACAAAAGTTCTTAAACACCAACCTCTTGGAGAACCCTTTAATCCTAAAAATGGTACCAAATGTTTTTAAACACCAAAACCCCTTTGGGGAAAGGGCCTTTTTATCCAATAATGGTACCCAAAATTTTTGAAACACCTCCCCTTTGGAAAGGCCCTTTATATCCTAATCAGTGGGACAAAGTTCGTAAACACCATCCTCTTGGAGACAGGCCCTTTATATCCTAATCAGATGGTACCAAATGTTCTGTAAACACCAGCCTCTTGGAGACAGGCCCTTTATATCCTAATCAGATGGTACCAAATGTTCTGTAAACACCATCCTCTTGGAGACAGGCCCTTTATATCCTAATCAGATACCTTAAAAAAAGGTAGGGGCGTGGATCAGAAGCCAGTCAGTATCTGGTGTGACCACCATTTGTCTCATGCAGCGCGACACATCTCCTTCCCATAGAGTTGATCAGGCTGTTGATTGTGGCCTGTTGAATGTTGTCCCACTCCTCTTCAATGGCTGTGCGAAGTTGCTGGATATTGGCAGGAACTGGAACATGCTGTCGTAGACGTTGATCCAGAGCATCCCAAACATGCTCAATGGGGTGACATGTCTGGTGAGTATGGCAGGGCCATGGAAGAACTGGGACATTTTCAGCTTCCGGGAATTGTGTCCAGATCCTTGCGACATGGAGCCGTGCGTTATCATGCTGAAACATGAGGTGTTGGTGGTGGATGTAGTCACGGTATCTCTATGCATTCAAATTTCCATCGATAAATTGCAACTGTGTTCGTTGTCCGTAGCTTATGCCTGACCATACCATAACCCCACCGCCACCATGGGGAACTCTGTTCACAACGTTGACATCAGCCAGCTGCTCGCCCACACAACACACATACACGCTGTCTGCCATCTGCCCGGTTACAGTTGAAACCGGGAATTCATCCGTGAAGAGCCACACTTCTCCAGCATGCCAGTGGCCATCGAAGGTGAGCATTTGCCCACAGAAGTCGGGTACGACACCGAACTGTAGTCAGGTCAATTATCTTGGCAAAGGAGAAATGCTCACTAACAGGGACGTACTGGAAACACATTGCTCACTAAAAAGGGCGTATGGAAACACTTGTCACCAAGGGCTAGGAAAACATTGCTCCTAACAGGGGGACTGTAAACACATTTCTCACTAAAAGGGGGTACTGTAAACACATTGTCACTAACAGGGCGTAGTAAAAACCCTTGCTCAAAAAAACAGGGACGACTGAAAACATTGCTCCCAAAGGGACGACTGTAAAAAAATTTCTACCAACGGGGCGACTGTAAACACATTGCTCACCAAAAAAGGGGCGTACTGGAAAACACTTTCCACTAACAGGGACTACTGGAAAAAACTTGCTCCTAAAAGGGACGTACGTAAACAAATTTCCAAAAACAGGGGCGTACGGAAAAACTTGCTCACTAACAGGGGGTACTGGAAACCTTTCTAAACCAACAGGACTCGGAAACCATTGCCCAACGGGGCGTATGGAAAAAAATTGCCACTAAAAGGACTACTGGAAACACATTGCCACAAAAGGGACGTACGGAAACAATTGTCCCCAAAAAAGGGGCGTACTGTAAACACATTTCCACAAAAGGGGCGTATGGAAAAAATTGCTAAACAGGGGCGTACTGGAAAACCATTGCTCCCAAAAGGGACGTCTGGAACACAGTCACCAAAAGGGCTACTTAAAACTTTGGGCCCCTAACAGGGGCGTACGGAAAAATTTCTCACTAACAGGGCGTTGGAAAACCATGCTCCAAAAGGGAGTACTGGAAAAAATTGCTCAAACGACGTACGAAAAAACCCTTCTCACCAACAGGGACGACTGAAACATTTCTCACCAACAGGGACGTACGTAAAAACCATTGCTCACCAACGGGGACGTATGGAAACACATGTCACTAACAGGGGCGTACTGAACACATTGCTATAAAAAGGGTACTGTAAAAACAGCCCCCACGGGAGACTGAAAAAACATTGCTCCTAACAGGGACGTAATGGAAACACATTGCTCCCACAGGGGGACTGGGGAAAAAATTTTCACTAACAGGGGCGACTGGAAAAACATTTTCACCAAAAGGGAGTACTGGAAAACATTGCTACTAAAAGGGGGTACTTAAAAACATTTCTCAAAAGGGACGTACTAAAAAACTTGCTCACTAACAGGGGGTACAAACCCATTGTCACCAACAGGGGGTACGGGGGAAAAAATTGCTACCAACAGGGACTATGTAAAAAATTTCTCACCCACCAGGGAACGTACTGTAAAACACCATTGCTCACTAACAAGGGACGATACTGGAAACACATTTGTGCCCAAAATGTGAGGAAACATAAGCTTTTTGTGCTTTACGGAAGATGTCTGGGATCTTGTAATTTCAGCTCATGGACCATGGAACCCAATACTTTCCATGTTGTTTTCTATGTCAGTGGTAAATACAATTTCCAGAATGGATGTTGAATAATAAGGACGTACGGTCTTTCGAAAGGATGAGCCCCCCACCGTGTAGCCACGGACTCCCTGCTGAGCAGGCCATGATGGGATTGTTCCCTCTGGAGGTCCGTGTGGAAGGTCCTGGGCCCTGGCGGTTGGGTCTCAAGCTGCAGGGCGACGCGGCCCTCGTACAGGAAGCTCCCTGGTTTTGTGGACCGGGATACTGCCACCGCCGGAGGGACAAACAGCTCCTGAAAGAGCGTCGCCCTAGGGGAGAGAGGTCAGAGGTTTAAGGGGTGACGGCCTCTATTCTCCCTGTGGACAGAGGAGGATCTGCAGTTTACAGAGAAATTGAATCACTCTGGTTGTATGGTGGGCTGCTTTATACTTGTTTTACAACATTAATACCATGTGTGAAATTGAAATGTTTTTTTTTTTTTTTTGCATATCCAAACTCCCTCTGAGCCACCCTCGGATAGGGGGTTTACGGCCAGAGTCCTGGAGCAATTATGGTTAAGTGCCTTGCTCAAGGGCACGTCGGCAGATTTTTCACCTTGTTGGCTCGGGGATTAGAACTAGCGACCTTTAGGTTACTGGCCCAACACTCTAACCGCTAGGCTACATGCAGCTCGTCTGAGGTTATCAAGAGGTTTTGTTTTGAATTACTACACTGAACAAAAATGTAAACAATTTCAAAGATTTTACTGAGTTACAGTTCATAGAAGGAAATCAGTCAATTGAAATAAATAAATTAGGCCCTGACTGGGCAGGGGCGCGGCCATGGGTGGGCATAGGCCCACCCACTGGGGAGCCAGGCCCAGCCACTCAGAATTAATTTTTCCCCCACAAAAGGGCTTTATTACAGACAGAAATACTCCTCAGAAATCCCCCTCCCCCGACGATCCCACAGGTGAAGAAGCCCGGATGTGGAGGTCCTGGGCTGGCGTGGTTACACGTGGTCTGCGGTTGTGAGGCCGGTTGGACGTACTGCCAAATTCTCTAAAACGACGTTGGAGGCGGCTAATGGTAGAGAAATGAACATTAATTCTCTGGCAACAGCTCAGTTGGACATTCCTGCAATCGGCATTCCAGTTGCACGCTCCCTCAGCTTCTTGATATGCCACACCTGTCAGGTGGATGGATTATCTTGGCGAAGGAGAAATGATCACTAACAGGGATGTAAACAAATTTGTGCACAACATTTGGAGAGAAATAAGCTTTTTGTGCGTATGGAAAATGTCCGGGATCTTTAATTTCAGGTCATGAAACACATGTTGCCTTTTCTATTGTAGTTCAGTATATTATTGTGATAATTATTACTAGAACAACAGTGTTGTGTTCTTCACATGAAGAACAGACAGACAAAGACACAGTAAAAAGTAGAGGTGTGCCGATCTCCTCATACCCGTGCTCCTAATCCGTTTTATCACACTTGATACTCAATCGGATTTACTCGTGATCGGAAAAACCCGGAAGTGCGCGCTTTAAATACCGATAAAGCCCTACACCTCAAGTGCACATTACTGCTCTACCACTCAGAGTGCATCTCAGAGCACATCGTTATGTTCCTTCAATAACATTACTGCTCTACCACTCAGAGTGCATCTCAGAGCACATCGTTATGTTCCTTCAATAACATTACTGCTCTACCACTCAGAGTGCATCTCAGAGCACATCGTTATGTTCCTTCAATAACATTACTGCTCTATCACTCAGAGTGCATCTCAGAGCACATCGTTATGTTCCTTCAATAACATTACTGCTCTACCACTCAGAGTGCATCTCAGAGCACATCGTTATGTTCCTTCAATAACATTACTGCTCTACCACTCAGAGTGCAATCTCAGAGCACATCGTTATGTTCCTTCAATAACATTACTGCTCTAACCACTCAGAGTGCATCTCAGAGCACATCGTTATGTTCCTTCAATACACATTACTGCTCTACCACTCAGAGTGCATCTCAGAGCACATCGTTATGTTCCTTCAATAACATTACTGCTCTAACCACTCAGAGTGCATCTCAGAGCACATCGTTATGTTCCCTTCCATAACATACCTGCTCTACCCTGTCAGAGTGCATCTCAGAGCACATCGTTATGTTCCTTCAATAAACATTACTGCTCTAAACCCACTCAGAGGGTCATCTCAGAGCACATCGTTATGTTCCTTCAATAACATTACTTGCTCTAACCACCAGAGTGCAAATCTCAGAGCACATCGTTATGTTCCCTTCAATAAAACATTAACTGCTCTACCACTCAGAGTGCATCTCAGAGCACATCGTTATGTTTCCTTCAAATAACATATACTGCTCTGCTACCACTCAGAGTGCATCTCAGAGCACATCGTTAGTTGCCTTCAATAAATACTTACTGCTCTAGCCACTCAGAGTGCAATCTCAGAGCACATCGTTATGTTCCTTCAATAACATTACTGCTCTACCACTCAGAGTGCATCTCAGAGCACATCGTTATGTTCCTTCAATAACATTACTGCTCTACCACTCAGAGTGCATCTCAGAGCACATCGTTATGTTCCTTCAATAACATTACTGCTCTACCACTCAGAGTGCATCTCAGAGCACATCGTTATGTTCCTTCAATAACATTACTGCTCTATCACTCAGAGTGCATCTCAGAGCACATCGTTATGTTCCTTCAATAACATACTGCTCTACCCCTCAGAGTGCATCTCAGAGCACATCGTTATGTTCCTTCAATAACATACTGCTCTACCACTCAGAGTGCATCTCAGAGCACATCGTTATGTTCCTTCAATAACATTACTGCTCTACCACTCAGAGTGCATCTCAGAGCACATCGTTATGGTTTCCCTTCAATAACATTACTGCTCTACCACTCAGAGTGCATCTCAGAGCACATCGTTATGTTCCTTCAATAACATACTGCTCTACCACTCATAGTGCATCTCAGAGCACATCGTTATGTTCCTTCAATAAACATTACTGCTCTACCACTCAGAGTGCATCTCAGAGCACATCGTTATGTTCCTTCAATAACATTACTGCTCTACCACTCAGATGCATCTCAGAGCACATCGTTATGTTCCTTCAATAACATTACCTGCTCTACCACTCAGAGTGCATCTCCAAGCACATCGTTATGTTCCTTCAATAACATTACTGCTCTACACTCAGGATGCATCTCAGAGCACATCGTTATGTTCCTTCAATAACATTACTGCTCTACCACTCAAGTGCATTCTCAGAGCACATCGTTATGTCCTTCAATAACATTACTGCCTCTACCACTCAGATGCATCTCAGAGCACATCGTTATGTTCCTTCAATAACATTACTGCTCTACCACTCAGAGTGCATCTCAGAGCACATCGTTATGTTCCTTCAATAACATTACTGCTCTACCACTCAGAGTCATCTCAGAGCACATCGTTATGTTCCTTCAATAACATTACTGCTCTACCACTCAGAGTGCATCTCAGAGCACATCGTTATGTTCCTTCAATAACATTACTGCTCTACCACTCAGAGTGCATCTCAGAGCACATCGTTATGTTCCTTCAATAACATTACTGCTCTACCACTCAGAGTGCATCTCAGAGCACATCGTTATGTTCCTTCAATAACATTACTGCTCTACCACTCAGAGTGCATCTCAGAGCACATCGTTATGTTCCTTCAATAAATTACTGCTCTACCACTCAGAGTGCATCTCAGACACATCGTATGGTTCTTCGGACAACGCTCCCTCAGAAGTCATTAACAATTTATGTCTCATAACAGACGCTCTATCACAGAGGCATCTCAGAGCACATGTATGTTATCTTACTTAACTGCCACCAATCACACCAGAGCAATTTTTTCATAACACTGCTCTCACTCGAGTGATCTAGACACATCGTACCTCTTTCTGTTACGGCACTCAGGCTCTTAACCATAAGCTATGTCCCAATACTTACGTCACACCAAGGCATCCAGAGCACCGCTATCTTCAACATTACGGCGGGTCATACACTCAAGTGGCACCGAGAGCACTCGTTATGTTCTATCTCAACGGCCATCAACTCGGTGAATTAAACCAACTAGTCTCAATACAGTACTGCTGCTTCACTCAGTTGAAATCATGGCCACTTTTCAATAACATGGAACCACTAAGTCATCTATTAATGTTTCCCTTCAATACATCTCTCTATATCAGAGTGATCTGCATCATCGTTATTCTTCTACTACTTACTCCATACCGCTCTAGTCATGCTCGACCATGTTATGTTTCCTTCATTAAATTCCTGCCTTACACTAGGTGCATCTATGGTACATGTTGTGTTCTTCAATAACTTGCTATCTTACCACTCACGTCGATCTCAGAGCACATCGTTATTTCCTTCAATAACACGCTCTATCAACAGGTGCTTAAACACGTGTAGTTTTCAATAACATTACTGACTCTTGACCCGATCTACATCTCAGAGACAAATGTTGTTCCTCAATCACATACTCTCTGACAACTGAGAGATCATCTCAGAGAACGTAATGGTCAAAACATACTCCCACATAAGTGATCTGGCCATGTTATGTCCTTTATAACTTACTGTCTCTACCAAGAGTATCTCAGACACATCGTTATGTCTCAATAACATTATGCTCTACCACTCAGAGTGCATCTCAGAGCACATCGTTATGTTCCTTCAATAAACATTACTGCTCTATCACTCAGAGTGCATCTCAGAGCACATCGTTATGTTCCTTCAATAACATTATGCTCTATCACTCAGAGTGCATCTCAGAGCACATCGTTATGTTCCTTCAATTACATTACTGCTCTATCACTCAGAGTGCATCTCAGAGCACATCGTTATGTTCCTTCAATAACATTACTGCTCTACCACTCAGAGTGCATCTCAGAGCACATCGTTATGTTCCTTCAATAACATTACTGCTCTATCACTCAGAGTACATCTCAGAGCACATCGTTATGTTCCTTCAATAACATTACTGCTCTACCACTCAGAGTGCATCTCAAGACAACTCAGGAGTGGCTTCGGGACAAGTCTCTGAATTACATTTACATTTTAGTCATTTAGCAGACGCTCTTATCCAGAGCGACTTACAGGAGCAATTAGGGTTAAGTGCCTTGCTTAAGGGCACATCAACAGATTTTTCACCTAGTCGGCTCGGGGATTAGAACCAGCGACCTTTCGGTTACTGGCACAATGCTCTTACCCACTAAGCTACCTGCCGCCCGATCTCCTTGAGTGGCCCAGCCAGAGCCCGCTATCATCCAGAAGGCGAGGTCAGTACAGGTGCATCAAAGCTGGGACCGAGAGACTGGAAACTGCTTCTATCTCAAGGCCATCAACTTTTAAAATTTAGCCAACACTAGCACATTAGAGGCTGCTGCTGCCTATTGAAATCACTGGCCACTTTAAAAATGGAACACTAGTCACTTTATTAATGTTTCCATATCTTTGCACTACTCTCTCATATTATATATTTGCATTCTATTCTATAATATTCTACTGTATCTTAGTCCATGCCGCTCTGTCATTGCTCGTCCTTTTAAAATGTATATTTCTTAAATTCCATTCCTTACTATTTTTGTGTGTATTGGGTATATGTTTGTAAAATTGTTAGATATGACTTGTTAGATTTAAACTGCACGTCGGAGCTGAAGCACAAGAAATTTTCACTACCCCCTCTAACTTTGCTAAACCGTGTATGTAAAAATAACTTTTGATTTGATCTACTTAAACCCGATCTAACATCTCTGGAGAACCTGAAAATGCTTTTGCACGACGTTCCCCCCATCCAACCTGACAGAGCTTGAGAGGATCAGCAGAGAAGAATGGGAGAAACTCCCCAATACAGGTGGCCAGCTTGTAGCGTCATACCCAAGAAACTCGAGGCTGAAATCGCTGCCAAAGGTGCTTCAACAAAGTACTGAGTAAAGGTCTGAATACTTCTGTAAATGTCATATTTTTGTTTTACATTTTCCCCAAAATCTCTAAAAAACTGTTTTCGCTTTGTCATTATGGGGTATTGTGGTGTAGATTGATGAGGGGGAAAAAAAATGAAATCAATTTTAGAAAAAGCTGTAACGTAACAAAATGGGGAAAAAAGTCAAGGGATCTGAATAGTTTCCGAATGCACTGTATTATAGACTCACGTATTGTACTGGTGGATGTATATGTTAGACAGACTCAAGTATTATACTGGTGGATGTATATGTAGTATAGACCCCACTATTATACTGGGGGATGTATAATGTATACAGACTCACGTATTGTACTGGTGGATGTTATGTAGTATAGACTCACGTATTATACGGGTGGATGTATATGTAGAAACAGACTCACGTATTATACTGGTGGATGTATATGTAGTCCAGACTCACTATTATACTGTGGATGTTATGTAGTTAGACTCCGTATTATACTGGTGGATGTATATTATACAGACTCACGTATTGTACTGGTGGATGTATTGTGTACAGACTCACGTATTATACTGGTGGATGTATTGTATATAGACTCACGTATTATCTGGTGGATGTTAGTAGTATAGACTCACTATTATACTGGTGGATGTATATGTAGTATAGACTCACGTATTATACTGGGGGATGTATATGTAGTCCCAGACTCACGTATTATACTGGTGGATGTTTGTAGTACAGACTCCCGTATTATACTGGTGGATGAAATATGTATATAGATTTCACGTTTTATACTGGTGGATGTATATGTAGTACAGACTCACGTATTGTACGGTGGATGTATATGTAGTATAGACTCACGTATTATACTGGTGGATGTATATGTAGTACAGACTCACTATTATACTGGTGGATGTATATGTAGAACAAAACTCACGTATTATACTGGTGGATGTATAGTAGTATAGACTCACGTATTGTACTGGTGGATGTATATGTAGTAAAACCCCACGTATTACACTGGTGGATGTATATGTAGTATAGACCACGTATTGTAATGGTGGATGTATATGTAGAAACAGACTCACGTATTACTGGTGGATGCATAGTAGTATAACTCACGTATTATAACTGGTGGATGTATATGTAGTCAGACTCACGTATTATACTGGTGGATGATATGTAGTATAGACTCACGTATTATACTGGTGGATGTATATGTAGTATAGACTCACGTATTGAAAGGGGTGGATGTAAAATGTAGTATAGACTCACGTATTATACGGTGGATGTATATGTAGTATAGACTCACGTTTTATACTGGTGGATGTATTGTATACAGACTCACGTATTATACTGGTGGATGTATATGTAGTGGAGGTCACGTATTATACTGGTGGATGTATATGTAGTACAGACTCACGTATTGTACTGGTGGATGTATATGTAGTACAGACTCACGTATTGTACTGGTGGATGTATATGTAGTACAGACTCACGTATTATACTGGTGGATGTATATGTAGTCAGACTCACTTATTGTACTGGTGGATGTATATGTAGTACAGACTCCACGTTTTACTGGGGGATGTATATGTATACAGACTCACGTATTATACTGGTGGATTTATATGTAGTAAAAGACTCACGTATATACTGGTGGATGTATATGTAGTATAACTCCGTATTGTACTGGGGGATGATATGTAGTATAGACTCACGTATTATACTGGTGGATTTATGTAGTGGAGACTCACGTATTGTACTGGTGGATGTATATGTATTACAGACTCAGATTGTACTGGTGGATGTATATGTAGTACGACTCACGTATTGTACTGGTGGATGGATATGTAGTACAGACTCACGTATTATACGGGGTGTATTATGTAATAGACTCACGTATTGTACTGGTGGATGTATATGTAGTACAGACTCACGTATTATACTGGTGGATGTATATGTAGTACAGACTCACGTATTATACTGGTGGATGTATATGTAGTACAGACTCACGTATTGTACTGGTGGATGTATATGTAGTACAGACTCACGTATTGTCGGTGGATGTATATGTAGTACAGACTCCGTATTATACGGGTGGATGTTATGTAGTACAGACTCACGTTTTATACTGGTGGATGTATAGTATTTACAGACTCACGTATTGTACTGGTGGATGTATATGTAGTACAGACCCCACGTATTGGTACTGGTGGATGTATATGTAGTACAGACTCACGTATTGTACGGGTTTGGATTATAGTAGTATAGACTCACGTATTGTACTGGTGGATGTATATGTAGTATAGACTCACGTATTGTACTGGTGGATGTATATGTAGTACAGACTCACGTATTGTACTGGTGGATGTATATGTAGTACAGACTCACGTATTATACTGGTGGATGTATATGTAGTATAGACTCACGTATTGTACTGGTGGATGTATATGTAGTATAGACTCACGTATTATACTGGTGGATGTATATGTAGTATATACTCACGTATTATACTGTGGATGTATATGTAGTATAGACTCACGTATTATACTGGTGGATGTATATGTAGTATAGACTCACGTTTTATACGGGTGGATGTATATGTAGTATAGACTACGTTTATACTGGTGGATGTATATGTAGTACAGACTCCGTATTATCTGGGGGTGTATATTAGTTAGACTCACTTTATACTGGTGGATGTATATGTAGTATAGACTCACGTATTGTACTGGTGGATGTATATGTAGTATAGACTCACGTATTATACTGGTGGATGTATATGTAGTATAGACTCACGTATTATACTGGTGGATGTATATGTAGTACAGACTCACGTATTATACTGGTGGATGTATATGTAGTACAGACTCACGTATTATACTGGTGGATGTATGTAGTGGAGAGTCACGTATTATACTGGTGGATGTTATGTAGTACAGACTCAGGGATTTTTACTGGTGGATGTATATGTATACAGACTCACGTATTATACTGGTGGATGTATATGTAGTACAGACTCACGTATTATACTGGTGGATGTATATTATACAGACTCACGTATTGTACTGGTGGATGTTATTAGTACAGACTCACGTATTATACTGGGGATTATGTGTACAGACTCACGTATTATACTGGTGGATGTATATGTAGTAAGACTCACGTATTATACTGGTGGATGTATATGTAGTATAGACTCACGTATTGTACTGGTGGATGTATATGTAGTATAGACTCACGTATTATACTGGTGGATGTATATGTAGTGGAGACTCACGTATTGTACTGGTGGATGTATATGTAGTACAGACTCACGTATTGTACTGGTGGATGTATATGTAGTACAGACTCACGTATTGTACTGGTGGATGGATATGTAGTACAGACTCACGTATTATATTGGTGGTTGTATATGTAGTATAGACTCACGTATTGTACTGGTGGATGTATATGTAGTACAGACTCACGTATTATACTGGTGGATGTATATGTAGTACAGACTCCGTATTAAAACTGGGATGTATAGTAGTACAGACTCACATATTGTACTGGTGGATGTATATGTAGTATAGGACTCAAGTTGTACTGGTGGATGTATATGTAGTACAGACTCACGTATTATACTGGTGGATGTATATGTAGTACAGACTCACGTATTATACTGGTGGATGTATATGTAGTACAGACTCACGTATTGTACTGGTGGATGTATATGTAGTACAGACTCACGTATTGTACTGGTGGATGTATATGTAGTATAGACTCACGTATTGTACTGGTGGATGTATATGTAGTATAGACTCACGTATTGTACTGGTGGATGTATATGTAGTACAGACTCACGTATTGTACTGGTGGATGTATATGTAGTACAGACTCACGTTATTATACTGGTGGATTTTATATGTAGTATAGACTCACGTATTTACTGGTGGATGTTATGTAGTATAGACTCACGTATTATACTGGTGGATGTATATGTAGTATAGACTCACGTATTATACTGGTGGATGTATATGTAGTATAGACTCACGTATTATACTGGTGGATGTATATGTAGTATAGACTCACGTATTATACTGGTGGATGTATATGTTAGTATAGACCCCACGTATTAAAACGGGTGGATGTATATGTAGTATAGACTCACTTTTATACTGGTGGATGTATATGTAGTATAGACTCACGTATTATACGGGTGGATGTATATGTAGTACAGACTCACGTATTACTGGTGGATGTATATGTAGAAACAGACTCACGTATTGTACTGGGGATGCATATTAGTACAGACTCACGTATTATACTGGTGGATGCATATGTAGTATAGACTCACGTATTATACTGGTGGATTATATGTGTACAGACTCACGTATTGTACTGTGGATGTATATGTAGTACAGACTCACGTATTATACTGGGGGTTTGTATATGTAGTATAGACTCACGTTTTTATACTGGTTGGATGTATATGTAGTATAGACTCACGTATTATCTGGTGGATGTATATGTAGTATAGACTCCGTATTGTACTGGTGGATGTATATAGTATAGACTCACGTATTGTACTGGTGGATGTATAGGGTAGTATAGACTCACGTATATACTGGTGGATGTATATGTAGTATAGACTAAACGTATTATACTGGTGGATGTATATTAGTATAGATCACGTATTATACGGGGTGGATGTATATGTAGTATAGACTCACGTATTATACTGGTGGATGTATATGTAGTATAGGACTCACGTATTATACTGGTGGATGTATATGTAGTATAGACTCACTTTACGGGGTTGGATGTATATGTAGTATAGACTCACGTATTATACTGGTGGATGTATAGTAGTATAGACTCATGTATTAACTGGTGGATGTATAGTAGTGGAGACTCACGTATTATACTGGTGGATGTATATGTAGTATAGACTCACGTATTATACTGGTGGATGTATATGTAGTACAGACTCACGTATTATACTGGTGGATGAAATATGTAGTACAGACTCACTATTATACTGGTGGTGTATATGTAGTATAACTCACGTATTATACTGGTTGATGTTATGTAGTACAGACTCACGTATTATACTGGTGGATGTATATGTAGTACAGACTCACGTATTATACTGGTGGATGTATATGTAGTATAGACTCACGTATTATACTGGTGGATGTATATGTAGTATAGACTCACGTATTATACTGGTGGATGTATATGTAGTATAGACTCACGTATTATACTGGTGGATGTATATGTAGTACAGACTCACGTATTATACTGGTGGATGTATATGTAGTATAGACTCACGTATTATACTGGTGGATGTAATGTAGTTAGACTCACGTATTATACTGGTGGATGTAATGTAGTATAGACTCACGTATTGTACTGGTGGATGTATATGTAGTACAGACTCACGTATTATACTGGTGGATGTATATGTAGTATAGACTCACGTATTATACTGGTGGATGTATATGTAGTATAGACTCACGTATTGTACTGGTGGATGTAATGTGTATAGACTCACGTTTTATACTGGTGGAGTATATGTATTTATAGACTCACGTATTGTACTGGTGGATGTATATGTAGTACAGACTCACGTATTATACTGGTGTTTGTTAATGTAGTATGACTCACGTATTATACTGGTGGATGTATATGTAGTACAGACTCACGTTTGTACTGGTGGATTTATATGTAGTATAGACTCACGTATTAGACTGGTGGATGTTATGTAGTACAACTCACGTTTTGTACGGGTGGATGTATATGTAGTATAGACTCACGTATTATACTGGTGGATTATATGTAGTACAGACTCCGTATTATACTGGTGGATGTATTTTGTAGTACAGACTCACGTATTATACTGGGGGATGTATATGTATACAGACTCACGTATTATACTGGTGGATGTAATGTAGTATAGACTCCGTATTTCTGGTGGATTATATGTAGTACAGACTCACGTATTATACGGGTTTGGAGTATATGTAGAAACAGACTCACGTATTGTACGGGTGGATGTATATGTGTACAGACTCACGTATTGTACTGGTGGATGTATATGTAGTATAGACTCACGTATTATACGGGATGTTTTGTAGTACGGGACTCACGTATTATACTGGTGGATGTATTGTAGTACAGACTCACGTATTATACTGGTGGATGTATATGTAGTATGACTCACGTATTATACTGGTGGATGTATATGTAGTATACTCACGTATTATACTGGTGGATTATATGTAGTATAAAACTCACGTATTATACTGGTGGATGTATATGTAGTATAGACTCACGTATTATACTGGTGGATTTATGTAGTACAGACTCACGTATTATACTGGTGGATGTAATGTAGTATAGACTCACGTATTACTGGTGGATGTAATGTATGGAGAGTCGCCTGCTGCAGACTAAAGACCAACACCACGGTACGATGCAGGATATCACTGGTCTCAGCAAAGAACTGGTCAAAGCCCCAAAACCCCTCCTGGTCGGGCCCCCCAAATTTTTTGGCTAGCATGGGTCACCGGCTCTGGGGCCCCCTAGGAAAGAGAGAGAGGGGGTTAGCCTCCAAGAGTTGGCTAGCCTGGGGTAAAGGCAGGCCGGGGAGGCCCCTGGAGGAAAAGAGAAGAGAGAAAAGAGAGAGAGATTTGGGGGCCTCCAAGTTTTGGCTACACGGGGTTTCACCCGGCTCTGGAGGCCCCGGGAGGAAAGAGAAAGAGAGAGGTTAGCCCCCAAAGGGGTTTGGCCCTAGCACGGGGCCCGAAAGGTTTCTGGAGGCCCCTGAGGGGGAAAGGGGAGAAAAGGGGGTTACCCCCAAGATGTTGGTAGCACGGGGGTTCCGGGCTCTTTGGGGCCCCCTGGAGGGGGGAAGAGAGAGAAGGAGAGAGGTTGCCTCCAAATGTTGGCTAAACTGGGGTCGCGGGCTCTGGAGGCCCCGGGAAAGGAAAGGAAGCAGGGGTTTTACCCCTCCAAATTTTTGGCTAGCACGGGGGTCACGGGCTCTGGAGGCCCCTGGGGGAAAAGAGCAAATGGGGTTTACCCTCCAAGATTTTGGCAGGACTGGGGTCAGCGGGCCTCGGAGGCCCCTGGAGGAAAGAGAGAGAGAGGGGTTTAAAGCCCCCCAAAGATGGGGGCAAACACGGGGGTCACGGGCACTGGAGGCCCTGGAGGAAAAGAGAGGGGGGAGAGGTTAGCCTCCAAGATTTTGGGTTTAGGACGGGGGGTCAGCAGGCACTGGAGGCCCCTGGAGGAGGAGAGAGAGAGGAGAGAGGTTAGCCTCCAAGATGTTGGCTAGCACTGGGGTCAAAAGGCACGGGAAAGGCCCCCCTGGAGGGAAAGGGGGAGAGAGAGAGAGGGAGGAGAGGTTATCCTCCAAGATTTTGGTTTGGACGGGGGTTTCCCAGGCACTGGGGGCCCCTGGAGGAAAGAAGAGAAAAGGGGTTTTAGCCTCCAAGATTTTGGCTAGCACGGGGGTCAGCAGGCACGGGGCCCCCCCGGGAAAGGAGAGAAGAGAGAGGAGAAGAGAGAGAGAGAGGAGAGAGGAGGAGAGGAGGTTACCTCCAAATGTTGGCTAGCACTGGGGTCAGCAGGCACTGGAGGCCCCTGGAGGAAAGAGAGAGAGAGAGAGAGGGGTTTTGGGCCCTCCAAGATTTGGCTGGGACGGGGGTCAAAAGGCTCTGGGGGCCCCCTGGGGAGAGAGGAGAGGGGAAGAGAGAGAGAGAGAGAGAGAAAAAGGGGTTTAGCCTTCAAGTTTTGGCTAGCACTGGGGTCACAGGCACTGGGGGCCCCCTTTGGAAAGGAAAGAGATAAAAGGAGAGAGAGAGGGTTAAAGGCCTCCAAATGTTGGCTGGACGGGGTTTCACAGGCTTTTTGGAGGCCCCTGGAGGAGAGAGAGAAAAGAGAAGGTTAGCCCCCCAAGATTTGGGCTAGCACTGGGGTCACGGGCCCACTGGGGCCCCTTTGGGGGGGAGAGAAGAGAGAAGGTTAGCCTCCAAGATTTTTGGCTAGCATTTGGGGCCCCACAGGCACGGGAGGCCCCGGAGGAGAGAAAAAGAGAGAGAGGAGGGGTTTGCCTCCAAGATTTGGCTACCTGGGGTCGCAGGCCCCTTGGGGCCCCCTGGAGGAGAGAGAGAGAGAAAGAGGGGTTTGGGCCTCCAAGATGTTGGCTAGCAAACTGGGGGTCAGCGGTTTGGGGGCCCCCTTGGAGGGGGGAAGAGAGAGAGGGAGGGGAGAGGAGAAGAGAGAAAAGAAGAGAAAGAGAATAAAGAGGGGAAAAGGGGTTTAGCCTCCAAATTTTTTAATTTGGGTCGGGGGCCGGTTTAAAGGGCCCCGGGAAAGGAGAGGGAGAGAGAGAGAGAAAAGAGAAGAGGAGAGATTTTGCCTCCAAATTTTTGGCAAAGGAAAATTTTGGGGTCACGGGCCCTTTGGGGGGCCCCGGGAGGAGAGGAGGAGAGAGAGGTTAGCCCCCAAAAGGGGGTTTGGCTAGGACGGGGGTCACCCAGGCTCTGGACCCCCGGGGTTAAAACGCAAGGGGTTGGAGGTCCCCTCAAATATTTTAGCCCCCCCGGCCTTAGGCCCCTGGAGGAGGGGTAAAGGGGTTTCAGATTATTTTTTTTTTTTAAGGGACCAAGGACCTCTTGGAAGGGGTGCAGAAAAGACGGGGTTTAAAGGGGGAAAGGTTTTTAAAAGGCCCGAGGCCGGGTCAGGTGGGGGGTCGGGGGTAGAGGGTTCGGGGGTCGGGGGTGGGGTTTCGGGGTTTAAAGAGGTAAGGAATTTAGAGGTCGAGGCCCGGGGAAAGAGGAAGGGGTCGGGGGAAAGGTGGGGGTAAAGGGGTAAGGCCCGGGGTAAGGGGCCGGGTTTGGGGTCAGAGGTCGGGGAAAGGGGTTTCGGGGGTCGGGGGTAGGGGGTCAAAAGGTTTCAGGGGTAAGGTAAGGGGGTTCAGGGGTAGAGGCCCGGGGTCAGGGGTAGAGGAAAGGGGGTTAGGGGTAGAGGAAAAGGGTGGGGGGTAGAGGTCAGGGGTAGAGGTCAGAGGTCAGGGGTCAGGTCGGGGTAAGGCCCCCCCCGGGGGGTAAGGTCAGGGGTCAGGGGAAAGGGGGTTTCGGGGAAAAGGGGTTTCAGGGTCAAGGCCCGGGGAAAGGGGTTTAAGGGGTCGGGGTAGGGGTTTCAGAGGTCGGGTTTTTGAGGTAGGGGTAACTAGTACTACTTGGACGGGTTTGCGGGAGACAGGCCCCCCCCGTGCCCCCCTAAATCTTCCCGTTCCAAACTTTCGGCCCCTGAGAGGGTTCCGGGGGGCTTCTTGTGTTTATCTTAAAAACCTAAAATGGGGAACAGGCCCAAAAAGCGTCACTTAAAAACCCTTCCTCCCTATTTTGCCTTTTTGGGGTTTAAAGAGGAAAGATAAAAATAAAAGGCCCTAAAAATAGCATTGGGGCCGTTTCCCAACCCATGCGCGGCGGCAGCAAATTTACAGGAATTCAAAAAGTCTCGACCTCTTTAAATTTTAAACCCCCTTTTGTTTATGTTACAGCCTTATTCTAAAATGTATCAAATTGTTTTTCCCCCCCTCATCAATCTACACACAATACCCCATAATGACAAAGCAAAAACTGGTTTTTAGATTTTTTTTCAGCAAATAACACATTTACATAAGTATTCAGAACCTTTAATCTCAGTACTTTGTTGAAGCACCTTTGGCAGCGTTTACAGCCTTGAGTCTTCTTGGGTATGACGCTACAAGCTTGGCACACCTGTATTTGGGGAGTTTCTCCCATTCTTCTCTGCAGATCCTCTCAAGCTCTGTCAGGTTGGATGGGGATCGTCGCTGCACAGCTATTTTCAGGTCTCTCCAGAGATGTTCGGTCGGGTTTAAGTCAGGGCTCTGGCTGGGCCACTCAAGGACATTCAGAGACTTGTCCCAAAGCCACTCCTGTGTTGTGTCTTGGCTGTGTGCTTAGGGTTGTTGTCCTGTTGGAAGATGAACCTTCACCCCAGTCTGAGGTCCTGAGCGCTCGGGAGCAGGTTTTCATCAAGGATCTCTCTGTACTTTGACCGTTCATCTTTGCCTTGATCCTGACTAGTCTCCCAGTCCCTGCCGCTGAAAAACATCCCCACTGCATGATGCTGCCACCACCATGCTTCACTGTAGGGATGGTGCCAGGTTTCCTCCAGACGTGACGCTCGGCATTCAGGCCAAAGAGTTCAATCTTTGTTTCATCAGACCAGAGAATCTTGATTATCATAGTCTGAGAATACTTTAGGTGCCTTTTGGCAACCTCCAAGCGGGCTGCCAAGTGCTTTTTACAGATTTGTATAATCCTGTCTCGGAGCTCTACGGACAATTCCTTCGACCTCATGGGTTGGTTTTTGCTCTGACATGCACTGTCAACTGTGGGACCTTATATAGACAGGTGTGTGCCTTTCCAAATCATGTCCAATCAATTGAATTTACCACAGGTGGACTCCAATGAAGTTGTAGAAACATCTCAAGGATGATCAATGGAAACAGGATGCACCTGAGCTCAATTTTCGAGTCTCATAGCAAAGGGTCTGAATACTTAAGTAAATACATATTTAATTATATATATATTTTAAATACATTACCAACAATTTCTAAAAACCTGTTTTCGCTTTGTCATTATGGGGTATTTGGTGTAGACTGATGAGGACATTTTTTATTTAATCAATTTTAGAATAAGGCTGTAACGTAACAAAATGTGGAAAAAGTCAAGGGGTCTGAATACTTTCCCAATGCACTGTGTGTTCCGAAGGAAGCGGCTTAGACCACCCTAGGTCACCAGGATGTCGTTCTTAGACCACTAGACCACCCTAGGTCATCAGGATGTAGTTCTTAGACCACAAGACCACCCTAGGTCATCAGGATGTAGTTCTTAGACCACCCTAGGTCACCAGGATGTAGTTAACCTCCTGAGTGGCGCAGTGGTCTAAGGCACTGCTTTGCAGTGCTAACTGTGCCACTAGAGATCCTGGTTCGAATCCAGGCTCTGTCGCAGCCGGCCGCGACCGGGAGACTCATGGACGGCGCACAATTGGCCCAGCGTCGTCCAGGGTAGGGGAGGGAATGGCCGGCAGGGATGTAGCTCAGTTGATAGAGCATGGCGTTTGCAACGCCAGGGTTGTGGGTTCGTTTCCCACGGGGGGCCAGTATAAAAAAAAAAAATAAATGTATTCACTAACTGTAAGTCGCTCTGGATAAGAGCGTCTGCTAAATGACTAAAATGTAAATGTAAAATGTAGACCACCCTAGGTCACCAGGATGTAGTTCTTAGACCACTAGACCACCCTAGGTCATCAGGATGTAGTTCTTAGACCACTAGACCACCCTAGGTCACCAGGATGTAGTTCTTAGACCACTAGACCACCCTAGGTCACCAGGATGTAGTTCTTAGACCACTAGACCACCCTAGGTCACCAGGATGTAGTTCTTAGACCACTAGACCACCCTAGGTCACCAGGATGTAGTTCTTAGACCACCCTAGGTCACCAGGATGTAGTTCTTAGACCACCCTAGGTCACCAGGATGTAGTTCTTAGACCACTAGACCACCCTAGGTCACCAGGATGTAGTTAGACCACTAGACCACCCTAGGTCACCAGGATGTAGTTAGACCACTAGACCACCCTAGGTCACCAGGATGTAGTTCTTAGACCACTAGACCACCCTAGGTCATCAGAATGTAGTTCTTAGAGCACCCTAGGTCACCAGGATGTCGTTCTTAGACCACTAGACCAACCCTAGTCACCAGGATGTAGTTGTCTTAGACCACCCTAGGTCACCAGGATGTAGTTCTTAGACCACTAGACCCCCCTAGGTCATCAGGATGTAAGTTCTTAGACCCACTAGACCACCCTAGGTCATCAGGATGTAGTTTCTTAGACCACTAGACCACCCTAGGTTATCAGGATGTAGTTCTTAGACCACCCTAGGTCACAAGGATGTAGTTCTTAGACCACTAGACCACCCTAGGTCACCAGGATGTAGTTCTTAGACCACTAGACCACCCTAGGTCACCAGGATGTAGTTCTTAGACCACTAGACCACCCTAGGTCACCAGGACGTAGTTCTTAGACCACTAGACCACCCTAGGTCACCAGGACGTAGTTCTTACATGACTTCCTTGTTCCTGCGTGGTCCTTCGAAGGGCCTGAAGGGGAGTGACCCGGTGGCAGCGTGGAAGAAGGTCACTCCGATGCTCCACAGGTCAACCGTCGCACCGTACTTCTTCTGGTGCTCTTTCCTCAGCACGGCACGCTCATACATATCAGGGTGCTGTTAGATACAAACAGAGAAACACCAAAGGCATGTTGAGGTCATGTCCATAGCACATCATTCCTCCTAGATCAGTAAAGGGCCCTACTGTAGGTGAGAGGTAAGAGGTCGGAGGGCAGGAGACTCACCAGATATTCCTCAGTGCCGTAAAGAGAGACAAACTGTTCATCATCTTCTAGTTCTCTGGCTGCTCCGAAGTCAGTCAGCTTATAGACAGACCTCCCGTCCTCACCGATGACACGCATGATGTTGCCTGGTTTGATGTCGCGGTGCACGATACCATACTCTCTGAGGTGGTTCATACCGGCTA